ATAGGGTGCCTGAATGAAACGTATTTGTATACCTAACCCTTAACTGTACCCCACAACATCATAATAAAAAATATTGATTATGAAAAAAAAATAAGTGTTTCTAGCAAAATATAACAGGGGTCAAGCAAAAATCCATCAAATCGCTATTTTCCAAGCTGTGTTCTATGGCATAACAAACAATAGCCCTTGAAATGGAAGGAGTTAAAATATACCACTTTGGCATTTTTAAGTCAAAAGCACTTGAAAAGCAACAGGTGTAAAAAGATCACTCTGACCTTTGTGCTGTTTCTTAAAAGCAAGAGATAAAATTCCCACATGAAATACACAACATTCTTATCCTCAAGGATGAGAAATCAAGACCAAGGGGATTCTGCACAGACCTTGTTAAAATAGCTCTTATCTCTTAAGCCTCCCCACAGGATTTAGCTGCCGCTTAACAACTTACTATTCTTTGTTGAATTCAGCATATGAGTAATTGACTTTGCTTCTTCATATCCTCATTTCTTCAAGCCCTCATTGGGCTCCCTTGCCACATAAATCATGTATTAAATAAATCTGGGTGCTTTTCTCCAGTTAATCCACCTTATGTCAATTTAATTCTCAGTCCTAAGAGGATGGAGGTGGAGTTTTCCTTCTCTACAAAATACAGGAAGTCCCCAACATATGAACGAATTCATAAGTCCATTTGTTGTAAGTCCAACAAAATTAGCCTAAGTACTCAACACAATTGGCTATATAGTACTGTATGTATTTAACAGGCTACACTGACACCTGGTGGAGAGAAGTAATACATAATAAAACACACGTGTATCGACAAAGTTTGTAACTTGAAGGTTCCTATGTAGGGGACTTACTGTATTGCCAGAAGGGAAGAAAACAAAGGTGATTGACTGCAAGACCTTTCAGAGCCTTTCATGAGCCCTGATTCTAATCCCTTCTCACCATTTTCACCACGATCACACCCCAGTCCAAACCACCATCATCTTCCATCTGAACTTTTGCATTTGCCTTCTATTGATCTTTCTGGTTCTACTCTTGCCCCCTTTTCTGTCCCTTCTCAATAGAATAGTTTGGGTCCTTTAAAACAGACTGGTCTTTGCAACAGAAGTCAGATCATGCCACTGATCTGCAAAGCCCCCAGTGTCTTCACATCTTGTTCAGAGTAAAATTCATACTTCCTCCAACTGCCTAACACATGATACTCTGCTACACCCAGGATTTTTTGAGTCTTCCTCCTACCACCTTTGCTCATCCAGCCTCCTTGGTCTTCCTCAAAAAAACCCTGTAGACTGTGGCCTCAGGGCCCCTTTGCACTTCTCAAATGCTCATCTCCAGTATATTGGTAGAGTTTTCTCTCTCCCTTTATTCAACTTTCAGCAAAAATGTACTCTCTGCAAGACACAGCGGCTCACACCTATAATCCTAGCAATGCAAGAGGATCACTTGAGGTCAGGAGTTCAAAACTAAACCGGGCAACATAGTAAGATTTTGTCCCAAAAAAATTTTTTTTAGTTATCTAGGCATGGTGGAGTGTGCCTGTAACCCCACCTACTCAAAGGCTGAGGCTGGAGGATCACTTGAACTCAAGAGTTCAAGTTTATAGTAAACTATGATTACGCCATTGTACTCCAGCTTGAGCAGCAGAGCAAGACCCTGTCTCTAAAAAAGATAAAAACGGCCGGACTCAGTGGCTCAGCCTGTAATCCCAGCACTTTGGGAGGCCAAGGTGAGTGGATTGCCTGAGCCCGCGGGTTCGAGACCCGCCTGGGCCACTTGGCGAGACCTCATCTCTACAATAAATCAAAAAAATTAACCGGGCATGGTAGCACATGCCTGTAGTTCCAGCTACTCAGAAGGCTGAGGCGGAAGGATCGCCGGAGCCCAGCAGTTCAAGGCTGCGGTGGCCAGGAGCGGCCACTGCACTCCAGTCTGGGCGACAGAGTGAGACTCCAACTCAAAAATAAATAAATAAAAATAAAAAAGATTAAAATGTCCGCTAGGTATGGTGGCTCACATGTGTAATCCCAGCACTTGGGAGGCTGAGGCTGGCTGATTGGTTGAGCTCAGAAGTTCAAGAACAACCTAGACAACATAGTGAAACCTCGTTTCTACAAAAAATTAACTGAGCATGGTGGTGTGTGCCTGTAGTCCCAGATACTTGGGACACTGAGATGGAAGGATCGTCTGAGCCCAGGAGGTTGAGGCTGCTGTAAGCCATGATTGTTGTGGTCATGCCACTGCACTCTAGCCTGGGCAACAGAGTAAGACCCTGACTCAAAAATAAATAAATAATAAATTAATTTTTTAAATGTCCTCTCTTTACCTCTGAGCATCTTATTTGAAAGATACTTTATCTGCTCACCCTGATTTTTTTCTTCATAGTCCTTATTTAATATGATATAATTTGTCTGTCTGCCTTGACCACTAAAATGAAGGCTCTACCGGGCCAAGAACATGGCTCGTTTTGCTCATTGCTGTATTCCCAGTTCTCTAGAACATTGTTTAGCACCTTGAAGATGCTTAATGATAATTTATTGAATGACAATAAATGCACCAGTATAACTTGTGACTGCTAAAGCAATAATATAGTATGCAGCTTTCTCAAAGCTGCTTGAGCACAGGATGTTTTTTAAAATTTATTTTAAAGATGTGGGGTACAATTCAAGATTAGGTAGATAAGTGGCTATTGTACAGGTAAAGTTTGGGCCTCCCTTTGGTCCCTGCTTTGCCTGGTTTGAGATAAGGTACCCTTATTGATGTTATGTGCCCTCCCCCCCCGTTTCCCTCCCCTGGCAGTGTCCCACTACTACCAAACCCTTTCTTATAGTGTTATGATAAATGTTCAGGGCTCGCTTATAAGTGAGAACATAGATCATAGGATTTTTTTTTACAGAAATGTTTATTAATATCTCACAGCACATGATAGTTTTAGAGCAGTCTGGGAAGCACTGTCTTTATTATTATTTGGTAAAATTAAATTCAGCCTTTTCTTTTACATATTTTTATCTTTTAGTCCGAGACCCTGTGTCATCCCATCAGCCCGTTTCCTTCAATTCCACTGAAAGTCACACCCCAGTTAGTATCAGTCACAGCTGACCCTACCAGCCAGCCTCTCCCTATGATAACAGAGCTCACCAGGCCTGCGTCTATAACACACACTGAGAAATCTCTGACAAAAATAACTTCAAGCCCAAAAGAGGACTCATACCTGGATGTCTTCACCACTCAACTAGAAGCATCATTTCAGAATGCATCTGATCAGGTATGGGAAATTCAAGTCACAGCTGGGTAGTTTTGTGATACTTAAAAAAGACTTTTATACCTTCCTTCTAACATGGTGATGTTTCCAGAAGAATGAGGATAAGAAGGAGCCCAGTTTGGCTGGATGTGGTGGCTCACTCCTGTAATCCCAGCACTTTGGGAGGGGGAAGCAGGAGGATTGCTTGAGCCCAGGAGTTCAAGACCAGTTTAGGCAACAGCCAGACCTTGTTGCTACAAAAAAAAAAAATTAGCCAGGTGTAGTGGTGTGCTCCCATAGTCCCAGCTACTCAGGAAGCTGAGGAGGGAGGATTGCCTGAGCCAAGGTGAAGACTGTGGTGAGCCATGATTGTACTACTTCACTCCACCTGGGCAACAGAGTGAGCCTGACTCAAAACAAAACAAAAAACAACAGTTCACCCTTTTACCTCTCAGCAGAACTAGACCTCAGAGAGAATGCCTAACAGACCAGCATATATCTCAATTCAAAGCAAAAACTAAACAAGTCCATGAAAATAGTCCACAGTGGATTTTATGCCCATTTCTGTATTTACTGACATTATTATTTAATGCTATTGCTAATACTAGATCAGTATAGTAGAGCTAATTGTATTTTTACATATCAGCAACAATCAGAAAATTAAATTTAAAAAGAGATGATAGCAAGTGCCTAGGAATAAATCTAACCCAAAATATTCAAAACTTCTACAGAGACAACTATAAAACTTTATTAAGATATGTTAAAAGACTAAATAAGTGGCGAGATATACCATGAGTCAGTCCAGGTCACAAGTTCTATTCTAAAATATCAAGTAAAGCATCCTCAGTGACTTACCTGGCTATAGCTAGGACAGCACCAAATAAGGCCTGACCTCCACTGGCAAGCATGTAGTTGGGTGGCAACTATATCTCACTCATGTCTTCATTCCTGCTTATTTACACCTCAATCCCAAAATATAAAGCCAAACGTGAGTGGTCCTCAATTCTAAGATCTCTTTATTACTGTCCTCAATTTCTTAAAAAATCTTACAAGCCTTTTGAATCAGAAATAACTTTATCTAACTGTATGATCCAGTTGAATGATTTTAACTGCTGGCTTTAACTGCTCTAACCCCTATGTCTAACATAGCACCTAGCAGTACATAGTAAGCATTTAATAAAGTATTTTTAGTACATGATCAAATTAAGCTATAAGTTGGCTGTATTCTAGAAATGGACCAAGTAGTTGGTATAAACAGAGATCCTCTCAGGATTGGACTTCATTTCAAAAGCACTATTCTTTAAGCTTTGGGACCAAATCCAGTTTGCTCAGTTTGTTTTTTAAGGGAGGTTTTCTGCTTCCTACCTCCTGTTGTGTGGCATTTCAAGTAGTTCCCTCTCAAACATGAACTCTTGAATTGAGGGAAACAAACATGGAGGGAACATACTTCTGAATAGAAAAGTTTGTTTTTATTGTTTTGATTTCTATGTTTCCTTCACCTTTGTTTGTGACCTTGAGACTTACATTTACTTCCATAAATCTTATTTCTAGACTCCTTTGCTCTTGGATCAACCACTGTATAGCCTTGTTATTCAATTTCTGTCCTGTATGGAACAGATGAAAATAAATTCCATTACTTACAGAAAAGCTTCTGAAAGTAACAACTGTTTTGGAGAGCCATGGTTCACAGAGTTCATAATGTTATCAAAAGTCAATTTTGGGGCTGGGGTCATGCCTGTAATCCAACACTTTGGGAGGCCAATGTAGGAGGATCCCTTGAGCCCAAGAGTTTGAAACCAGCCTGGGCAACATAGTGAGACCGCATCTTTGTTTTTAAAAAATAAAAAAATCAGCTGAGCATGGTGGTGTATGCCTGTAGTCACAACTACTCAGGAGGCTGAGCTGGGAAGATCACCTGAGACCAGAAGGTCAAGGCTATGGTGACTAAAGACCACACCTCTGCACTCCACCCTGGGCAGCAGAGTGAGACCCTAGCTCAAAAAAAATAAAAAATAAATAAAAAGTTAATTCTGGTTAAATCAATGTCTCAAACTACTAAAGTACAATAATTTTATCTGAGTAATTTTGACAAACTCCTCTGTTCCCAACAGGTCATAGATAAGATAGCAGGGAACTTTAGCAGAGCAATTCATGGTTTGCAAGTTCGTGATAAACTGAAGAAAGCTTGTGAAGTCCTCCAGACACTGACAGCCTTTACCCCAAGATTTTCTAAACCAGCTCAGGTAAGCAGAGGATGATTGGGAGGGAATAAGATAGGAGACAGGGAACAGCAAAAAACAGAATAAGAGAAACTGGAGATTGTGCCCTGTACCGAGTTTAGCATTAAAAACACATTTAAATATTAACAAGTATTTTTATATACCTTTAAGTCTGAAAACTGTGAATAAATTGATCAGTAGTGACATTCTTGGATATACTATGTTTATGTTCATTTTGTCATTTATCAGGTGACACTCTTTCCAACGTATTTGTCAGAAGAAATTATGGGAAATAAAATACATCTACTTCTTGCCACAAAGAGAGTGGTACAGCCTTGAAACAGGCATCAAAAACCGGTGAATTGGTGATATCAGTCACAGCTGACCCTACCAGCCAGCCTCTCCCTATGATAACAGAACATTTGTTGAAACTACATTTACCAGTGTTACTTCCTCACAATTATTCATGCCTCTTCCTACTTTGTACACATTAGCAAATTAAGGTGGTAAGAGTAGAAGGAATTTTAATTTTCTTTTTTCCATTTCCTATATTTTCATATATTCTGCAGTAAGCTTGTAAATGCAATCTGTTTTTGTTTACTTGGACCTTTTAAATGACAAAAATAATACATGCTTGTTATTTTTAAAAATCAGAACAAAAGCATATGAAGTAAAAAGTGAGAGCTGTCTTTGTCCTTCTTCCCAATCCTATTTTCTAGATGGAATCACTGTTATTAATTTGTTATTAACTTTCTGTGCATAACTTTCTAGGATTTTTCTGTGTGTACATAAGCATTTTTTTTCTTTAAACAAAACTGGAGGTAAGGTATACAAACTTTTTGGACCCTTGATTTTTTTTTACTTAATACATCATCATGGGTAACTCAAGATGAACTCATTCTTCTTTTTTTTTTTTTTTTTTTTTTTTTTTTTTGAGTTGGAGTCTCACTCCATCACCCAAACTGGAGTGCAGTGGCACACTCATGACCACCCCATCCCAGCATCGACCTGCTGGGTTCAGGCAATCCTTCCGCCTCAGCCTTCCAAGTAGCTGGAACTATAGGTGCACACCACCATGCCCAGCTAATTTTTTTATTTATTGTAGAGACAAGGTCTCACCAAGTTGCCCAGGCTGGTCTCGAACCCCTAGACTCAGGCAATACTCTTGCCTCAGCCTCCCAAAGTACAGGGATTACAGGCTTGAGCTACCATGCCCAGCTATCTTAAATGATTTTAAGGCCCTAGATATAAAGGAATAATCTACTCAGCATTTTGGTCAGCATTGCTCTTTTCCTCAGCATTCCTTTTTTAAATTTACTTTTGTTAGTTTGATATTTGGCCTATTTACCACTCAAAAAGAGTTATGTCAGGTCCTTAGAATAACATGAAATATGAATCCTCCCCTATAGGTAATATGAAATAACATACTTTCCTTCTCTGCCAAATTATAGTATTACTTTTTATAAAAATATATTTGAAATGTGTAGAGAATATTGAACTGCTAATACAAACACAACGTTAAAACAGTCATGAACGGTTCAGGGATGTGAGTTTGCTTTCTTTTTTGTTTTTGTTTGTTTGTTTGTTTTCAACAAGATTAGGCCCCTTCAGGGTGGCATGGCCATAGACTGTTTTGTTTTATCCTACTATTATGACATAGTAATATGTTTGCTTTCTTTTTTTTTTTGAGATGGAGTCTCACTCTGTCACCCAGACTGGAGTGCAGTGGCCACTCCCGGCCACCGCAGCCTCAACCTGCTGGGCTCTGGTGATCCTTCCGCCTCTGCCTTCCAAGTAGCCGGAATTACAGGCATGCACTATCACACCCGGCTGATTTTTTTGATTTCTTGTGGAGATGAGGTCTCGCTGCCCAGGCGGGTCTCGAACCCGCGGGCTCAGACAATTCACTCACCACAGCCTCCCAAAGGCGCAGGATTACAGACTGAGCCACCAAGCCCGGCTGTTTGCTTTCTAATATTGCCAGGTCGATATGTATCATCAATTCATTTATCCACCTGAGTGAGCAGTTACTGAAGATCCCATTTCAGAACAACAGCAGTCAGGGCCCCAGAATTCCTGTGACTGTCTGCCTCTTTCATTCCCTCAACAGTGTCTTGCAAACTGGTGAAGAGAGTTGGCAGGAATCCAAGCATGACACTGAGCAGGTGGGTGCAACATATGTAGGTGGCCAACTCTAGAAACTTTGATCTTGACAGGTCCAGGCATCACACCCCCTCTCCTTAGTCCTTTAAAGAGAACCCAGCTGAAATATGTGCTACTTAGGAAATAGCTCTGCCAAACTTCCTCTAGGGTCTCCCTCTCTACCCCACCAGTGAGCCAAGATTACCTAGTGCCATAAGCAAGTGAAAGGGACCCTGTAAAGTGTTGGTTACTAGTCAACGCTCAGTAAGTTATGTTTGCTATTCACAAGAAAAGATGTTCAACATCACTAATCATTAGAGCAACACAAATCAAAACCAAAATGAGATACCACTTCATACCAAAACGATAACATTAAGTATTGGCAAGGATGCAGAAAAATTGCAACCTTCCTACACTGTTGGATTGTAAACTATGCAGCCACTTGGAAAAAGTTTGGCAGTTCCTCAACCTGTTAAAAGTAGAACTGCTGTAACTTAGCAATTCCACTCCTTGGGCTCTACCCAAGAGAATTGAAAACATATGTCCATACAAAAACTTGTACACTCACATTCATAGCAGCATTGTTCAAATAGCTAAATAGTCAAAAATTGGAAACAACTCAAATATCCATGATCTGAAAAATGGATAAACAAAATTTGGTATATCAATATGATGGGATATTATTCAGCAACACAATGGAATCAAGTACTGATACATGCTCCAACATGGATGAAACTTGAAAACATTATGCCAAGCGAAAGAAACCAGTTACAAAAGACCGTATGTTGTGATTCATTTATATGAAATGTTCAAAGGAGGCAAGTCTATAGGCACAGAAAGTAGATTCGTGGCTGCCTAGGGCTGGGGGGAGTAGAGAGATGGGAATGGAGAGTGACTGCTAATGGGTACCAGGTTTATTTTAGGGGAGATGAATTCTAAAATTAGATTGTGATGATGATTTCACAGCCTTGTGAATATACTAAAAACATTGAATTGTATGCTCTAAGTGAGTGAATTGTATTTGTGAAATTTATCTCAATAAAACTGTCTTTAAAAAAAAACAAAACCCTATCTTGAGTAGGTTTAGGGCAACTATATAATGAGGCAAAGAACTCTTTCCTTGCCTGACCCTCTTAGTTGATAACAAAGGTTAATTAAGTCTTTAGCCACATTACATGTACTTTCTGTGGAGTTCCAAGGTTCTCTCCAATGAATGTCACCATTCAAAACATCACTGTCAAAAATTCTCCTTCCAACCCTCTCCAAGCCTGAGGTTGTACAAGTCACATGGTATTTCCCCCAAAATGCAGGTAGAAGACTTGCCGAAAATGTCCTTGATGGCACTTGAGAATATTCTGGAAGCATTTCTATTGCAGAATCAGTTTTCTGCATCTTCAGTGACTTTGACCTCTTCCATTGCTACTCTGATGTTGAGCGAGTTAACAGAGGAGGGAGGGAGGAAACTGGGAGACTTTCACTTCAGGTTTTTGACCTTTAGAAGAACATACAAAATTTGACTTCCATTTTAACTTCTTTTTTATTAGCCAGAACATATCAACTTTACCTCTGAGCTCTTATACTCTGGGTTACCCAGCACTTGTGAGGTTAGGCTTTCCATCAGCTTCAGCTTTGGAGGAGCTCTTGAATAAACAACCCGGAGTTAATGTCCAAGTAAGTGTGAAATTGATTGTGATCAGAACGAAAATGGCATTTGATGGCCATGTAGGTGTTTGGGTAAAAGAAATGTACCTGAAATGAGCTGACTAGTCCAGACCAAATGAGAGAGATTGTGTGACATTAATTTCCTTTCTTTTTTTTTTTTTTGAATTGGAGTCTCACTCTGTTGCCCAGACTGGAGTGCAGTGGCCACTCCCGGCCACTGCAGCCTCGACCAACTGGGCTCCAGCGATCCTTCCGCCTCAGCTTCTCCGAGTAGCCGGAATTACAGGCATGCGCTACTATGCCCAGCTGATTTTTTGATTTAGTGTAGAGATGAGGTCTCACCAAGTTGCCCAGGTGGGTCTGGAACCTGCGGGCTCAGGCAATCCACTCACCTTAGCCTCCCAAGGCACGGGATTACAGGCTGAGCTACCGAGCCCAGCTAATTTTCATTTTATACTGGCAGGGATAGAGGCTTCTTTAAAATGATTCAGTATAGAGGTTGTGAAAGCATTAAACAGATTTCTAGATTTAAAATTTTCTGTGTTATGATTTGAATTGATCTCAACTCTTCACTATTTACATAAAACTGGGAATACCTGAATGATTATTGACTCAGTACTCCAACCTAGTCATGTCAATATATTGTTTTTCTTTCAACAATTACCTGACAAACACAAGTAGCATTATTGCCTTATCCTGGAGAGCAGAATACTTATTTCCTAGTAAAATAGAATCCTCCAGGTATAAACATTTTTAAAATAATTCTGGGGGGTCACAAGTATAATTAATCTTTAATTAATTGTGTCTCATAGATGTTATAATATAAAATCTTATTTTGTTTGAGATATTAGAAGGGGGAAAAAATCCCAACATTTAATTTATGCCATCTGATACCTTGTTACCTATCGGAGCCATTTATAAATATTTTAGCAACTGGTAAAACTGAGCTTTCTTTATCTTTAGATAACAGGACTAGCTTTCAATCCCTTCAAGAATTTTGATGATGGAAACATTGTTGGAAGCATTGAAAATGTGTTACTGAGCTCTAATCATGAATTGCTCCGAGTTCATGACTTAAAGGAAGATATTGAGGTAGGGATTGATTCTTAGGGAATAAAATAAAAGAGAATAGAATATACTGGAGAATAGAATGGAAGGATGCAATAACTTGAAGGAAATCGCTTTAGATTGATGACAGTTCCATTGTTTTGTTATTGACAGCTTTACTTAGGAACTTTTACAAAGAGATATACAATATACTATGGTATACTATACTTAGAAAAAGGTGTTTTTCTCTATGAAAAAGGTACCTGCACCTGCACATTTATTGCAGCATTATTTACAATAGCAAAAACATGGAAACAACCGTACTGCCCATTGAAAGAGGACTGGGTTAAAAAAAATGTAGTTGCTGGGTGTGGTGGCTCATGCTTATAATCCCAGCACTTTGGGAGGCCGAGGTGAGAAGATTGCTTGAGCCCACGGGTTCTAGACTAGCCTGGGCAACTTGGTGAGACCTCAACTCTATAATAAATCAAAAAATTAACCAGGCATGGTAGCACATGTCTGTATTTCTAGCTACTTGGAGGGCTGAGGCAGAAGGATCATCTGAGCCCAGTAGGTCGAGGCTGCGGTGGCCGTGAGCATGCCACTGCACTCCAGCACTCCAGCCTCGGTGACAGATTGAGACTCCAACTTAAAAAAAAAAAGGTAAATATACATGATGGAATATTACACAGCCATAAAGAAGGACAAAATTAAGAACTGAGTACCACATGTTTTCACTCATAAGCGAACCTTGAACAGTTACCATAAGAGGGATTGGCGACAGTTGCAGTCCTATTCTAAGTTCCTGTCTTCCTGCCAGCACGTCCTGGATGGCTTCCCAAAACCGTGACCCAGCTGTCCAGCATCACCGCTACCAAAGGAACCAAGCCTAGTGGAGGTGCAAAAGGCTACAGCAAGAGATGATGACCCTCATGATGTCTGGTGATAAAAAGGAATTTCTGCTTTCCCTGAATCAGACAACCTTTTCAAATGGGTGGGGACCATCCCTGGAGCAGCTGGAACAGTGAATGAAGACCTGTGTATAAGCTCTCTGGAGTTCCCCAGCAGCTACCCTTACAGTGCACCCAGGGTGAAGTCCCTTATGCCCTGCTACCACCCCGATGTGGACACCCAGGGTAACATCTGCCTGGACATCCTGAAGGACAAGTGGTCTGCCCTCTGACGTGAGGACAATCCTTCTCTCCATCCAGAACCTGCAAGGAGAACCCAACATCAATAACCCTTTAAACACACACACTGCCAAGCTCTGGAAAAACCCCACAGCTTTTAAGAAGTACCTGCAACCCAGGCTCAGTGGCTCAGCCTGTAATCCCAGCACTTTGGAAGGCTGAGGCGAGTGGATTGCCTGAATCTGTGGGTTTGAGACCAGCCCGAGCAACTTGGCGAGACCTCGCCTCTACAATAAGTCAAAAAATTAGCTGGGCTTGGTAGTGCGTGCCTGTAGTTCCAGCTACTTGGAAGGCTAAGGCGGAAGGATTGCCCAAGCCCAGCAGGTCGACACTGGGGTGGCCGTGAGTGGGCCACTGCACTCCAGCCTGGGTGACAAAGAGAGACTCTAACTCAAAAAAAATCACCTGCAAGAAACCTACTCAAAGCAGGTCTCCACCTAGGAGCCCTGACCTGGGCTGTCTAGCCTCTCCTGTGTCATCTTTTATTTTATCTTTTCCTTAGATGATCTGTCCATTCCTCAATCTTAAGCTGTAGTGTTATCTTTGTTTTTTAAATTCAGTCTTTGGTTGAGTCCTTGTGATGTATATTAAATAAATATGTTTTAGTTGGCAAAAAAAGAAAAAAGAAAGAAAGAAATTGGCAGTAGTTGGAAACCACTGGGGGAAGGGGGCAGGATTGGCAGTAGTTGGAAACTGGGGGGGCACACCTCATCAACAAGGGTACCTGCATAATGAACATTTGTATACCTAACCCTGAATTGTCCCTTATGCCTTCAAAATTAAAAATTAAAAAAAAAAAAGAAAGAAAAAGTAGTTTTAGGTTTTAGACTAATTCTTCCTAACCCCTGGCAGTGTGTTAGCTACTACCACTCAAAGAGGAAGTTTCATTACCTTTTCAATATAGGGGTGATTGAAAGTATCAATGGATCACCTTAAACTTGAAGACTGATTAACCATCTCTTTTTCTAGATCATACTCTGGAGAAATATTAGCATGGGAACTCATCCCACCAGCCTCAACACGAGCACAGACCATTTTACAATCACAGTGAACATCACTTCCTTGAAGAATCCCTAATAGTGAGCATAGAACCTGATAGTCCCCTCCTCATGACCCACTACCTAGGGTTCCAGCATCAGCCTAACCACACTTACTTCTACCTGAACATCAGCCTTCCAAAGGATCAGGTGTGGCAAAAAGGTAAAAATCCAATCGGATATCGGAAACTTAATCTGAGGTGCATTTTTTTCTTGTCTTTTTTTAAACTTTTTACTTTGAGATAATTATAGATTTACATGTAATTCTAAGAAACAAAACAGAGCTAGTATACATTTCATCCAGTTTCCCTTAAGGGTAACATCTTACATAACTACAGTGCAGTATCACAACCAGAAAATGACACACTGATACAATGCATTGACTTTATTCAGATTTCACCAGGTTTACAGGCACTCATTTCCGTGTAAGTGTAAGTGTAATTTACCACATGTGCATATACATGTGACCACAAAAAGCTTTTTTTTTAAAAGCAGGATTTATTGAGAGGACAGAAAAGCTCTCACAGTGGGAGGGGACCCGGAGGGGTTGCCCTTTTTTTTTTTTCTTTTCTTTTCTTGAGTCAGTCTCACTCTGCCACCCATGCTGGAGGTCAGTGGTACTCTCACAGCCACAGCAGCCTCGGCCTGCTGGTTTCAGGTGATCCTTCTACCTCAGCCTTCCAAGTAGTTGGAACTACAGGCATACACCACCATGCCCGGCTAATTTTTTGACTTACTGTAGAGATGAAGTCTTTCCACATTGCCAGTCTGGTCTCAAACCCCTGAACTCAAGCAGTCCTCTTGTCTCAGCCTCCCAAAGTGCTGGGATTACAGGTGTAAGCCACCACGCCCAGCTAAAATGCATTTTTTAAAAAGATGGATTATGGGATGGATAGAAGGATATATAAGTGAGAAAGCAAATATAGTAAAATGTTAAATGTAGAAACCAGCCGGGCTCGGTGGCTCAGCCTGTAATCCCACACCTTTGGGAGGCTGAGGTGAGTGGATGGCCTGAGCCCACGAGTGCAAGACCCGCCTGGGCAGCAGACCTCATCTCTACAATAAATCAAAAAATTAGCCGGGCGTGGTAGCACGCGCCTGTAATTCCAGCTACTCGGAAGGCTGAGGCAGTAGGATCACCGGAGCCCAGCAGGTCGAGGCTGCGGTGGCCGGGAGCGGCCACTGCACTCCAGTCTGGGTGACAGAGTGAGACTCCAACTCAAAAAAAAAAAAAAAATGTAGAAACCTAGTTAGTTAGGGTGTTCATGTTCACTGTAAAATTCTCTCAACTTACTGTGGTTGAAGTTTTTCGTAATGAATGTTGAGACCCACAGGAGAAGTAAAGTCCTAACACCATGGATCACATATACTTCAAATTTTATATATTGTTGATGGATAATTATAAAATATGTATGTTTCAACTTTATTTTTAATCTTAGATTTGGGGAAGACCTGGTGATATCTCAGTAAGTCTTGGAATAAGAACAGAATGACTATATTGTAGTTTAGAAAAGTTAAGACTTTCTGACACATATTAAGTTAAAAATGTCTGAGTTACATAAATAGTGCGTAGATCTACTTGATCAAAAACATGCTCTATGAATATAAACTTTAAATGTAGTACTGACAAGTCTTAAGAGCTGTATGCTTTTGCATTTTAAAAACAGTTGGGAAAAATAATCAGAATGGAGAAAGCGTAATAGTCTCCTTTCGTGACCATCTTCCCATATTGAAAGAACTTCTGGCTCCCACATAGGACCCACTCTCACAGGAATGATCCCTTTTTTTGTTTTTACATGATTGCTTAGTTCAACTGTTACACCCAGTTCTGCCTTGTAAAAAAATAACAAAATGCTCCTATCAAAATTACATTGTGATGTAAGTGTCAGTTTTTTGTTTTAATATATCTCTAGAAATATATTGGTACCAAATGCACTTTTTAAAAGTTTTAAGGCTTAATAAAAATACAGACACTGGTAAGTTCTCTCTTTTGAAGTTCTTTTTGCTCCTAGGCGAGGCACCTGACCGAGCTCTCACTGCTGGGCTGCCAGCAGCAGTCTGTCTGCATTGCCCACAGGCCCTTGCTCCATTTGGAAGGTGTGCTCAGTTTTTCTTGGAGATCATGGCAATAATATTGTGTCATTTAGAGCGGGAAGGGCTCAAGCAATCCACCTGCCTCAGCCCAGGCAACATAGCGAGACCTTATCTCTACAAAAAAATCAAAAAATTAGGCCAGGCATGGTGGTGCACACCTGTAGTCCCAGCATTCTGGGAGGCCGAAGCAGGAGAATTTCTCGAGCTCAGGAGTTCAAAACCAGCCTGGGCAACATTGTAAGACCTTGTCTCTTTAAAAATTTAAAAATTAGCCAGACACAGTGATACATGCCTTAGTCCCAGCTACTTGGGAGACTGAGGTGGAAGGATCACATGAGCCCAGGAGATCGAGGCTGCAGTGAGCTGGAGGAGCCATTGCACTCCAGCGTGGGCAAAAGAGTGAGACTCTGATTCAAAATAAAAATAAATAGAGCAGGAAGGGGCCTTGGAGACTGCTTGTTTGAAAGACAAGAATTCCTGTTTGAAAGGTGAAGTCTGGAGAGATTCAGTGACTTACTTTAGCCCTTAGCAACCACTTGACAGATCCAGGCCTGAGGGTGGGTCCCTGGCATGCAATCCAGGGCTCAGTTCCTGGAGCATCTTCCAGTTCTTGCTTCACCCTTGGGTTTCATTGTTGGTCTTCTATCTACTCATTTAGATGTGCAATCATTTAATTTTTCTAAAACTCATAATACATTCTAATTCATGAGACCTAAATTTCCTTTATGGAAAAAAAAAACTGATTCTTTATTGGAACAGGAGTAACTCAAAGCCCAGGATTGTATCCCTGGTTATGTTCTTCCAAAACATTTGTGACTCTAGACTTATTATGTTCTCATTTGTAAAATACTAATAGACCCTTCAGAAGAAAGCATCTAATGGCATTTTTGTCCCATCTGAAACCCAAGCAAGCACTCTTTTTTGTTCTAAGATGAGGAATACACGTGGGTGCTGACTCCTGAGAGTCTGCACTATGGGATCGGCACCTACTACATAACCGCTGTGTTGAGCAAGAGCCAGGAGCTCACTCAGCAGATACCCACGCTAGTCACCGTCGTAACTGCCGTCACTCGGTGTTATTTCTGGGACAACCACAACAGGCACGTGGAGGAGCAACGGGTGCCAAGTAAGAAGCAGGGCCACTTCTCTGAACTCTCTTCTACCTTAGCTGCTGCTGATCACAATACACCTGTCATCTTATTTGGGGCAGCCCAGAAAAAAAATACATAATCAGAAGGGAAATAAGTCAGCCTGGGGCAAAGGAGGAGGAGGAAGAGGGTCATGTGTGGTGGGCAGGGAAAGTATGGCTGTCTGGAGCAGAAGCAGTTTGTGCTTTATCTTTGTAATTTTTCTCAAACACAGTCCAGGGTTAATCTGACAATTGTGTATAAAGTAAAGCAGTGTACAGAAGGTGTACAATTCAACAAGTATTTCATATGTCATGGGTGAAATGAAACAACCTTCCTGCTAAACAAAGGAGAACTTTTGTAGCTAAAATAATACGTTTGTAGATTCTTGTACACTCCAGGCCAGGTGGTGGCAGATTGTCACTTTTGTAATCATCACTTTGTTCCTGGTGTCTGCCGACTTTAAAATGGCATTGTGCATTTGCACACTCGTGATTCTGTGAGATCCTGCCTGGTTAAAGTCCTAGTTGAGTAGCACAAAGAATGTGGTGTGAGTTCCTGGAAGTTGTGAAGTTGCTCTTCATAAAAGATCTGGGAAGGTGTCATCCAGACAGGAAGAGAAGGGAATAGGATTCTCTGGAAGGCATCTGCACTGTTCATGGCCTCAAGCAGTGATTTCTGGGTATTGCTTCTGGAGCAAATCCTCAAAACCGGAGCTTGTTAAAATGTAGATTCTGGACAGGGTGCAGTGGCTCAGACCTGTAATCCCAGCAATTTGGGAGGCTGAGGCAGGAGGATTGCTTGAGCCAAGGAGTTTGAAAACAACCTAGGTGACACAGTGAGACCTAGTCTCTGCAAAGGAAAATAAAAGCCAGGATAGTGGCACACACTTGTAGTTCCAGGTACTTGGGAGGCTGAGGCAGAAGGATCACCTGAGCTCAGGAGGTTGAGATTGCAGTGAGCTGTGATTGTCACTGCACTCCAACCTCACTCCAGAGTGAGACCTTGACTCAAAAAAAAAAAAAAAAGATTCTAATGCAGTATCTCTGGGATGGGGCCTGAGAGTCTGCCCTTCTAATAATCCCCCAGGTGATGAGAGTGCTGCTTGTTGGGAAACCACACTTGGAGTAGCAAGGCTTGAGAGCTTTCTCCTCTCACAGGTCACTGATTGCAGAAGGCATCGGTATTTCTCATCTCCTTGAAGCTCTTTGTAGTGCTAGGTCTCCACAAACACAATAGAGCTGCCAAGTACAGCATGCCGGTTCTTCCAAGGGCAGAATATAGATTGGGCATCCAGAACTTCACCTTATGCCATGGAAAGAAGTCAGTCACCTTGACAATATTTTAGGCTTGTCATCCACAAAACCAAATACAGAATTGATGGCTTCCATTTTGCCACCCAATGATATATATCTATATTTAAATATATATACATTTATATATAAATATATATGTATTTTATATATATATATGGGGTTTTTTTTTTAGTTGGAGTCTCACTCTGTCGCCCAGTCTGGAGTGCAGTGGCACATTCACGACCACCCCAGAGTTGACCTGCTGGGCGCCTGTGATCCTTCTGTCTCAGCCTTCCAAGTAGCCGGAACTACAGGCGCGCACTACCACACCCAGCTGATTTTTTATTTATTGTAGAGACGAGGTCTCGCCAAGTTGCCAGGGCTGGTCTCAAACCTGTGGGCTCAGGCAATCCACTCACCTCGGCCTCCCAAAGTGCTGGGATTACAGGCTGAGCCATCAAGTCCAGCCCCAATATATTTTAAAAATATTTATTATGGAGCAACCCCTATGGGACTCCTCCCGCTGTAGAAGCTTTTCTGTCCTCTCAATAAATCCTGCTTTCAAAAAAAAAAAAAAATATATATATATATATATGTGTGTGTGTGTGTGTGTGTGTATACATATATAGTGAAGAAATGTTACAGCATATGGAAAGCTATAGGAAATAATATCATTATTTAATGCACACTCAGCTTTATCAAAGTCATTATTTTATTCTTTTTACTTCAGATTTTTAAAAAATAATAAAACACTGAGAAACTGAAGCCCTCTGTGTATCCCTCCCTAGTCTCATTCCTTTCCTTCTACCAAAGAGTAAGCACTGTCCTGAATTTGGTGTATGCATTCATTCTTTCAGTACATATTTATTGAGTATCTTCAACATGCCATGCCTAAGTCTATGAACTAGGGCTACAGCAATGAACAAGACAGTGGCCTCACAAGCTTATGTACTGGAGAGAAAAACTGATGATGAATATATAAATAAGTGTTGTTTTACATGCTTTCAGACTTTGTGTGAATGGCATCATGCTGTATATAACCTTCTTTAACTTATTTTATTCACTCAGCATTTATCCATATTGATACATCTACCTCTAACTCATTCTTTTCTTTTTTTGAGTTGGAGTCTCACTCAGTCGCCCAGACTGGAGTGCAGTGGCCGCTCCCGGCCACCGCAGCCTCGACCTGCTGGGCTCCGGCGATCCTTCCGCCTCAGCCTTCCAAGTAGCTGGAACTACAGGCGCACGCTACCACGCCCGGTTAATTTTTTATTTATTGTAGAGATGAGGTCTCGCCAAGTTGCCCAGGCGGGTCACAAATCTTTTTTTTTTTTTTTTTTTTTTGAGATAGTCTCGCTCTGTTGCCCAGGCTGAAGTACAGTGGTATAATCATAGTTCACTGCAGCCTCCTGGGCTCAAGCAATCTTCCCACCTCAGCCTCCTGAGTGCACCACCATGCCCAACTAATTTTTCTCAATTTTATTTTTTACAGATAGGTCTTACTATGTTGCCCAGGCTGATATCTTGAACTCCTTACCTCAAGCAATCCTCCTGCCTTGGTCTCCCAAAGTGCTGGGATTACAGATGTAATCCTTTTCCATCTCTAAATTGCCTATGTTTATGTTATATGTTTGTCCCTTCCTTACACCTCTACCTGATTAGAAGCAGTGTCTTGATTCTAATTCCAGGTTGGGCCACAGAGCACGATTTTGAAGATGCAGTGTTTCTGTAGCCACCTGACCTTCTTTAGCAGCGATTTCTTCATCATGCCCAGGACAGTGGACATTGAAGACACAATCAAACTGTTCCTTCGTGTGACCAATAATCCTTTTGGAGTGTTGTTTGCTGGCCAGCCTTTTAGGATTCTACATGGTCACAGTTGTGTGGGCTTGGAGAAAGAATCAAGCAGATATGCAGAAGGTAATGAGACTTTGAGTTCAACAACTTTGCCACGATGGCTTGAGTATGTTAAATAAGGTGGTGGGGGGAATGAGGAGGAACACCTTCATCCAAAGAAGCAGGTAGCATGGTGCTAGCCTGGTGCTAGGTGGCAAAGAAATTCAAGTGAGACATTTCTTTCTTTCTTTTTTTTTTTTTTAAGTTGGAGTCTCACTCTGTTGCCCAGACTGGAGTGCAGTGGCCGCTCCCAGTCACTGCAGCCTCGACCTGCTGGGCTCTGGCGATCCTTCCACCTCAGCCTTCCAAGTAGCTGGAACTATAGGCACACGCTACCACGCCTGGCTAATTTTTTATTTATTGTAGAGATGAGGTCTCATCAAGTTGCCCAGGCGAGTCTCAAACCCACGGGCTCAGGTAATCCACTCTCCTCGGCCTCCCAAAGTGCTGGGATTACAGGCTGAGCCACCAAGCCCGGAAAAATGTTTCTTAAATTTACTTGTATATCTGCTGTCTTCAGACCTAGAACTTCACTCTTTTTCAAATTTTAGATTCAGGAGTGCATGTTTGTTACATGGGGCATATTACATGCTGGTGGGGGCTGGGCTTCGGGTGTTCCCGATCGCCAAATAGTGAACATTGTACCCAGTGGTAGCTTGTGAACCCTCACCCCCTCCCTTGCCTTCCCTCCTTTAGTGTCCCCAGTATCTATTATTTCCATCTTTGTGTCCATTTAGCTTCCATATGTAAGTGAGAACATGCAGTTTTTGGTTTTCTGTTTCTGAGTTCACTTAGGATGTTGCTCTCCAGCTCCATCCATGTTGCTGCAAAGGACATGATTTCATTCTTTTTTTTTTTTTTTATGGCTTTGGCATATCCCATGACATGTATACACACACACACACACACACACACACACCACATTTTCTTTATCCTTGCAATTGTTGATGGGCATTTAGGTTGATTCCATGATTTTGCTATTGTGAGTAGTGCTGTGCTGTGATGAACATACGAGTGCAGGTGTCTTTTTTATATAGTGATTTATTTTCCTTTGGGTAGATACTCAGTAGTGAAATTGCTGGGTTGAATGGTAGTTTTATTTTTCACTCCTTGAGAAATCTCCATACTGTTTTCCATAGAGACTGAACTAGTTTACATTCCCACCAACAGTGTATGAGTGCTCCCTCTTCTTTGCATCCACACCAACATTCATTGTTTCAATGATAGCCATTCTCACTGGTATCCGATGATATCTCATTGTGGTTTTAATTTGCATTTCTCTGATCAGTGATATTGAGCATTTTTCATATGCTTGTTGGCTGCTTATATGTCTTCTTTTGAGAAGTATCTATTCGTATCCTTTGTTCACTTTTTGATGGGGTTTTTTTTCATATTGTATTGAGTTTCTTGTAGATTCTGGAATTAGTCCTTTTTCTGAGGCATACAAATATTTTCTTCCTTCTGTGGGTTTTCTGTTTGCTCTACTGATTATTTCTTTTGATGTGCAGAAGATTTTAGTTACATTAAATCCCATTTTTCTATTTTTGGTTTTGTTGCATCTGCTTTTAGGGTCTTCATAAATTCTTTGCCTAGGTCAATGTCCAGAAGAGTTATTCCTAGATTTTACTTTAGGATTTTTATAGTTTCAGATTTTATGTTTAAGTCTTTAATCCATCTTGAGTTAATTTTTGTATGTGGTAAGAGGTTGGGGTCCAGTTTTATTTTTCTGCATATGGCCGGTTAATTTTCCCAGCTCCATTTATTGAATAGAGTGTTCTTTCCCCTGGTTTATTTTTGTCAGCTTTGTCAAAGATCAGCTGGTTGTATGTGGTTTTTTCCTGAGTTTTTCATTCTGTTCCATTGGTCATCTGTTTCTGTTTTTGTACCAGTACCATGCTGTTTTAGTTACTATAGCCTTGTTTTATAATTTGAAGTCAGGCAGTGTGATGCCTCTATGTTTGTTTTTTGTGTGTTTGTTTGTTTTACTTAGTATTGCTTTGTTTATTCAGACTCTTTTTTTTTTTTTTTTTT